TGCGGGTGGGTGGGTGGGTGGGAATTTTGCAAGAGCGCGGGATGTGTCAACTCGTTTGCTAAAATCAATTGCACCACGTAGACTCCACCGCATATCTCGTTTCACACATGATGCTTACACATATTGCACAAATTGGGTTACACAACGTAGATCACACGACGTGCATTCTATAAAATACATTGCGCCACATAAAATGCGCCACACATGTTGTTCCACATGGGTCGCACAACGTATATGGCTAGAGACACAGCTTGGGGTCCACGCCGGCTGACATTGTATGCTACAGGAAATGGCCAGAGCATTTGGCGTGGCCTGGCCTGGTGTGGCTTGAGATTATGGGTAATCGAAAGCGCCCGCGGCGAGTTATCGCCACACCCTGCCTTTCTGGGAGCGACGATGTTGTCAAACGTTGGGCCAAAGCTTCGCCAACCTGCAGGACTATCTGTTTTCCCAGCCGCTGTGAAAATCCTTGGGGGAACCTGTGGGAGAGGAAGGGAGGAGAGAGGAAAAGGAGGAGAGGAGGAGAGGAGGAGAACGAGGAAGGGAGAGGAGGAAAAGGAGGAGAGGGAGGAGGAAAAGGAGGAGAGGGAGGAGGAAAAGGAGGAGAGGGAGAGGAGGAAAAGGAGGAGGAAAAGGAGGAAAAGGAGGAGGAAAAGGAGGAGAGGGAGGAGGAAAAGGAGGAGAGGAGGGAGGAGAGGAGGAAAAGGAGGAGAGGAGGAGAGGAGGAGAGGCGGAGGAGGAGGAGGAAGGAAGGGAGGAGAGGAGGAAAAGGAGGAGAGGAGGAACGAGGGGCGCCGGGCCCGGAGGCGGTCACGGGGACCAGCGGTGGCCGTGGGGCCCAGAACGCCAGCTCGCGGGCCTCCTCGACTTCGACCTCCTCCTCCTCGACCTCCTCCTCCTCGACCTCCTCCTCCTCCTCGACCTCCTCCTCCTCGACCTCCTCGACCTCCTCGACCTCCTCCTCCTCGACCTCCTCCTCCGCCTCCTCCTCCTCCTCCTCCGCCGCCTCCTCCTCGACCTCCTCGACCTCCTCGACCTCCTCCTCCTGCTCCTCCTCAGCTTCCTCCTCGCCCTCGTCTGCTGCCCCTCTTGGGGCCAGCTTGGGGCTGCATCCTGAGCCCTGTCAGGGCCTCGGGGAGGCCGTCCTGAGGCGATACTGGGGGCCTCTTGGGCTGTTTCGAGCGCTCTTGAGACAGAGAAAGCAAGAAGGAGGCTCAAGTCATTGAAACCCAGAGTTCTTTACATGCCTCTCGGGGGGGGTGGGCCGAGATTCCAAGACGGCCCAAGAAGCGCCCAAGAGGGTCTCAGAATGGCCCCTCGAGGCGACGAACAGCTTCGGAGCGCTTTGAGCGATGCTTAGAAGTCTATAGTGAGGTGAGTGTAGCCGTTTTTGGCAAGTCTGGCTTCCCGGAGAAGCACGAGGGGAATGCTGTGAGCGTCCAGGCGCGCCCACCAGCGCACGTGAGTTTCGTGGAACTGGTGGCCTAGGCCCTCAGGTAACTTACGATCAAGCCAACCAAACCCCACCAATCCTCACAGTGGCGGGTTGAGAGGAGTAAGGTTCAAAGGCGGGGGCTAAAGGAGTGCGGATAGAGGACGGGGAGGGGCGAAACGGGCGAATGCAGGGAGGGTTGGAGGGGGAAGAGGATGGGCAACGGTGGGGAGGGATGGTCTCGAACGAAGGGCGTAGGCAAGCGATACCTTGGAAGCTCAGACGAAAGTAGGAACGGGCTCGTAGGGGACCCAATATCTGGAGATCCCAATCGGGACTCCAGCTGATTTCTTGGGCCTTCTGTTTAGATTCCAACGTAGGTTGTTTTGCCTTGCGCTGCGCCTGTGCCTCCTTAGACCGCATGCGTTCTATGTACAGCGTCGAGCACGGCCCCGGACGCACCGAGCCGTCGCCGGGCGCCAAAGTGGGACCCCCAGCTTCGGCGCGCAAGCCAGACGGAGCCCTCGGCGACGGAAGACGCGCCTGCCTGGCCAGCTCCCTCTCGCGCGCAGGAGTGCCAGCAGAGTCTGCATCCCCTCCCCTTTCCCCATCTAGGAGACCACATGCGAACCCTACCCCTACCCCCCACGATTTCTGAGGGGGAGGGTGGGGTTCACTTCGTTCGGGAGCTCTCGAGCGAAGTGAACCCCACCCTCCCCCTCAGAAATCGTGGGGGGTAGGGGTAGGGTTCGCATGTGGCCCCCTACCACCTCCTCCATTCCCCACGTCCGCATGCGGGCCCCGCCTTCGTCAACTGGAGTGGCGGCCGAGGGCTGCATGGAGGCGACCGTGAGGCAGGGAGAGCTACCGCTCGACCACAGCTGCGGCTAGCCTTCTGCGGGCCTGCAGCAAAAGGAGGTCTTTGGGGCCGAGATGGTCACGCTGCTTCGTATGGCTGTTCTGCTTTGTGTGTGCTCATGTCTTGCTGCAACGTGGCCTGTGACGGCCTGCGCTGGGGGCCGCGGCAAGAGGAGACCTGCGAGATGCTGGCTCGACCCTGCTACCCCGCTTCCCCTGCGCTGACTACGGTGCTCACCCCTGCGGCGCGACGCTGTCGCCGCAGCTGTGGCATTGGTGATCGTACTCTTGCACCAGTGAATGTGAGGATCCCTCTGCGGGGCTTGCCACCTTCCCCAACCTGTGCTTGCACTGAAGGGCCCTCGCGGATACAGGAGGAATGCACGAAAGTACTGGGCCGATTTCGATGTGTGGCTGGGTCCCAGCTGGTCTCTGGTTCCGGTCGGCGGCGAGCGAGGGGTGGAAGTGAGAAGGAGAAGGCCTTCTCAGAAGATTCGGACGTCCCCCGTCCTTCTGAGAAGTTTTCTGAGCCTGCCCCGAAGACAAACAAGAACTTCTCAGAAGGCGCGAGGGCTTCTGAGAAGTCCCGCCGCCTTCTGAAAAGGCCTTCTCCTTCTCACTTCCCCCCGTCCCTCGCCGCCGATCCGGGCTCTGGCGAGAGTGGCGCTCCGACTTCGGGGGCGGCCGGGTTCCCGGGGCCCCGGCTTTCTCGTTGGGGCCGATGTCGGTGGGTGGCCTGGTTGTCCGGGCCCACGTGTGCTGGGTTCGAGGCATGTCAGAGAGCGGAGTGGGGAGCAGGGAGTACATCTCGGCGAGGCAGAGTGCAGAGTTGAGCAGAGAGATGAGGGAGAAGAGGTAGAGCAGAGCAAGATGGGAATGCATAGAAAGTAAGCAAAGTAGTAGCAACACGCATGCACATATACATATTTGTACATGGAGAGAGAGAGTACTATAGAGAGAGAGAGAAAGAGAGAGAGAGAGAGAGAGAGAGAAAGAGAGACAGACAGAGAGAGAGGGAGAGAGAGAGAGAGATAGAGAGACAGAGAGGCGGAGCACAAGCACACATGCATACAACACGCAGCGCACAACACACAACACACAACGCACAACACACAACACAACACGCACACACCATACAAAACAACACACACAAGACACAGCACACAACACACAGCACACACAGCACCGAACACACACAACACACAACACACAGCACACAGCACACAGCACACAGCACACAGCACACAACACATGACACACGACACACAACACGCAACGCACAACACACACCACACACATATTCACACGCATTCACACACACACGTGCACACACACACTCACACACGCACGCACGCACGCAAGCATGCACGCACGCACGCACGCACGCACGCACGAACGCACCCACGCACGCACGCACGCACGCACACACCACACATACAACACACAACACACGCAACACACAACATACACATTGCACACAACACACACACACGCATTCACACGCAGTCACACACACGCACGCAAAAGACACATGTCCCCGTCTACGAGGCGCTCCGAGAGTCCCCCGAGTCGCTTCCGCGTCGCCAGGAAATCGCTCCCGCACGCTCGTGGTGGTCTGCAGATGGCCCGCCCCGCTCCCCAGGCGCTCCACGAAGGCTCCCAGACGGCCCAGAGCGCTCCCCAGATGCTCTCAGAGGGTTCCCAAGAGGACCCCCATGAGGGCGCCAAGAGGCGACCTTCATGTGTGTTTCCACTGCTTCTGACTGTTTTTGGTAGGGGCTTCTGCCTTTTTCGGCCTGCCGAGGCTCCACGCCAGCCACCGCCCGCTTCGCGACGGCCTCAGGGGCTCACCCCAGGGGCGCCCAGAGCACCCAATGAGGCCCCACGGCCGCCCCCCAGGCACTGCCCAGGACCGCCCAACAAAAGGCACCGAGGCGCGCCCGAGCCGCCGACAGTCACGCCCCGACGCCCGCGGTTGGCTCCGGACGGCCCTCCGCTCCCGAGGCGCTCCACCTGGGTAGTCGAAGGCCAGACTGTCGGACTGGATTGGGCCCCAAGGGCCAATCTGGCCTGGCCATACTGGAGGATTTGGGTTATTCGCCAGACTGGATTCGCGTTGGCTCCCTCGCCATATTGCCCCCGTTTGCCAGATTGGGCCTGCCAGATTGGCGCCAGATTGGCTTCGACTACCCAGTCCACGAAGGCTCCCAGACGGTTCAAAACGCGCTCCAGACGCTGCAAGAGGGTTCCCAGACGGCCCCCACGTGTGCTTTAAGGGGGACAAATCTCAGGAGGGAAAGAAACACACAGACACAAGTAATCGTCGATTCCCAGGAAAATATGGGAAAATATGGGCAGTGGGGGGGAAAACCAAAACCCAGAACATATGAGAAAATATAGGGAATCTTTTTTATTTATGTGTATTTATTTGTGTGTCCCAGGGCCCCTTCAAAATCATTGGCTCTCCTTGGGCCTCCGCCGTTTTCTGCAGGTGCCCGCCTCTTCGGCTTGCCGAGGCTCCGGCAAAGCCCCGGAAGCACCGCCGCCCGCTTCAGGACGCTGTTCACCCTGACCTTCCAGAGAGCTATGTTTTAGCACTGGAGGCCTAAAGACTTAAAAAACTGAACGAGACAGCCTGAAACCAAGACGTAGAACAGCTCTGGGATAGGTTTTCAGGTCGGGCGCAATTTTTTAGCCCTCCTGGAAGCTCCGGGCAGGGGCTCCCCCCCCAGGGGCAGAGCACCCGAGAGGCCCCCCACAGCCGCCCCCCAGGCACTTCCGCAGCCACTCTGGCCCGAGGGGGCGGCGGCGCGCCCACGGACCCGACGCATCTCGCCCCCGCCGCCGCCCGCGGGGAGCCCTGCCGCGCGAGAGCCTTCGTGCGCGATGCCGCTCCTGCCCGCGGGCGCCCTCGGCGGGGGCAGGAGCGTTGCCCCGATGAACAGAACAGAACAGAGGCCCGTCGCTCGGCTGCGAGAGCCGGTCCCTTGGGGGCGCGGGGCGCCCTGGCGGGCCCGAGGGAACGCACCATTGCAACAATGTATAGGATAATGACGGTGCCGCCTCGCCTCTTCTCGCAAGCGCAATCCCACCAATACTCGTGATGAAGGGAACGCACCGTTGCCCCGATGGACTCCACGATTCGAATAGTGGATCGACTACAGAACTGATTTACCCCGAAATTGATTTCTTCATCCTGAGCGAGTAAGATTATGTAGACCGCCCAGTAGATCTACGGAGCCTCCTACGACTTTCCCGCAGATTCAACGGGAAATCACTTCAGGGGTGAATCAGTTCTGTAGTCGATCTCCTACTCGAGCGATGACCAGCTGGTTCCTCTCCCCGCGCGCGCGCGGCCGCACCGGGAGCCGGGGCCCGTCGGGGGCCAGGCCGGCCGGCACGCCGAGAAGGGGCCGCCGGGGGGCGCCCACGGCGCGTCCTCGCCGCCCCAGCGCGGTGGCGTGGGCGCCGCGGGGGGCCACGGCGCGGCATCGCTGGCCGCGGGGCCCGCGCTGGAGCGTGGCGTCGGGAAGCAGACCAGCCGGCACGCCGAGAAGGGGCCGCTGGGGGGCGCCCACGGCGCGTCGACCTCGCCGCCCCAGCGCGGGAGCTCACCGCCTACCAAACCACCCCGGCCCAACCCGAAGGCGCCGACTTGCCCTCCATTTCCAGTGTGGGGGGGTCGGGGGACATTGACAAGCACAGGAATCCCGTACCCCCCCGAACCCGAACTTCGGGTCTTCGGGTTGGTGGGCGGTCTGGTAGCTAGTCAGGAGCGTGGGCGCGCCAGGGCGCCACGACGCGGCATCGCCGGCCGCGGGGCCCGTGCTGGAGCGTGGCGTCGGGACGGTGCGCTTCGGCGGTGTGGAGCCAGTGCGCGAGATCTCGCCCAGCTCCGGCGCCTCCGCGCAGGATTCGCCACGACCGCCCCAGTCCCCACCATCGCCAGGCGGGCACGTCGACTCGAGCAGCCCCTTCTTCGGAGGCTGCCTGCGGGCGGCGCTGGCCGGCGATGGATCCGGGCTGGCCCACCAGGGCTGCGCGGCCAGCCCGAGGGGTTAGTGTGCATCTGAGCGTCCGCGCCGGAGGAGGAGGAGGAGGAGGAGGAGGAGGAGGAGGAGGAGGAGGAGGAGGAGGAGGAGGAGGAGGAGGAGGAGGAGGAGGAGGAGGAGGAGGAGGAGGACATGATTACGTTTAAGTCGGGCCTGTCCCCCTACAGGGGGATTTTCGACGAAAAATAAAAAATACCACAAACATATTCCAAAAGGTAAAACAAATACCCCAAAAATTATCCACAGACGAATTTTGGATTATTTTTTTGCGAATTTTGTAGTATTTTTTTCGTCGAAAATCCCCCTGCAGGGGGACAGGCCCGACATAAAATTACGTCGGGCATGTCCCCCCTCTACAGGAGGCCTATTCAAGAATGGTAGAACTATAGTCTGGGGGCGATTTTCTTATGATTGTTTGTTGATTCTGTTTGCACCTGTTTTGGATCTCTTTCATGTTTCGTCCACTCTACACCTGTAGGGGGACATGCCCGATCTAAGAAAAGAAGGAGGATGAGGATGAGCAAGGGATTCACGAGGAAGCACCAGCACAACGCCCACTGTGCCCGCCATGTCGGGCACATCGTAGCATTTTGAGCTGCGCCTTCATTGCCGCAGACAGGCAGTGCTGGCGAAAGTGAGTTGTTCTTATCACGCAAGTTGTCTACGCGCTCAGGCGACTGGCATGCCCTACTGACAGTATATGTGTATACGCGTGCGTAGCCACAGCAGCATTCATTGCCTTGTCGCCACGAGAGGGCCTATCGGTGTATCTAGTTGCTGGGCACGTCCCGTTGACCCTGAGGCGGCTGGAAGCGCGAGTCGCGAGCGTTTACCACGCAACAGCCGCGGCGCAGGCCTCGGCTCGTCAAAGTCGTCTGCAGTTCAATCGCATTGGCCAAGGCCACCCTGTCCCCCACGCTCGCTGGTTACGCAGGAGCGGCCGGCCTCGATTGCAGAGCAGAGGGCAGTCCGAGGGGCACGAGTCGCCCCCACAGAGAGCCAGCAATCGTGGTGGATCTCTTTGTGCATCCCAGTGCGAGGATGGCTTCTCCTCGGGCCGCATCGGCACGGCGAGGAGCCGAAGAGGGAGCCAGAGGCAGCGATAAGGGTGGACAGGCTCAGGGGGGGGGCGCGCCGACCGCCCCAGAGTCCATGCGCCGCCGACGGGGTGCCCGATAGCCCTCCCCCGCCCACGAGCACACGGCTTCGCATCCGATGGCCTCTCGCCGAGCCATCGGCGATGCGTCGCCGATTCCAGGCCAACGTCCCCCACCCCCTTGATCCAGCTCCTGGGATTTTGGTCGGCGGCTTGTGCGCCCGTGCTGCCCTCGGCTGCAGCAGCTCGGCGCCCCGAGCCAGGGGAAGCTCCACCGGAGCGCAGGGCGATGCCGAGCACGTCGGGCCCGAATCTGCCGCGCTGGCCTGGTAACCGCCGAGGCCGGCTGGTCGTCGCACGCGCGGCACCTCTCACGGGGCCTCCCCGCCGCCGATTTGCCTGCGCCAGCGCCGCGCCGCGCGGGTCACTGGAGGCCGGGCGGGTTCGGTGAGGCACGACCTGCACGGCGGCGAGTTGCCTCCTTGGATGTGTTTTTTCTCGCAGGCCTAGAGGTTGACACCAACACCAATTTCGACGGTGTGCCTCCACCGAGGGAAGAAGATCCCGATCTCGGTGATGGTGGTAATATTTTAGCTTCCAAGGTGGCCGAAATATTACCACCAACACCGAAATCGAGGATCATCTTTCCCCTGTGAAGGCAACCCCCTGTGTTGGTGTTGGTGCCCATTTCCAGGCCTCCAATTTTTGTTGCCATCCTTTGAGTTTCGGTCGCCATGACCCCCCTCGGTGGCGCCATCGGCGCCGCCCCGGGTGCGCTCCGCGCGCCAGGGAGGGGGGGGGTCCAGCCCAGCTCCAAGGGGTCGGCGCGGACCTTCGACAGTTTTGGTATTCGGGAGCTTTCGCCAGGTCGCTCCCATGAGATCTTCTTGACAGGCAGGCCTGGTGTTTCTTTGGCGTCATACGTTGGCCCGAACATCATCTGACGTGGTAGTCCTATGGTAGTGCTTTGGTGTGAGCCAGCATGGCGAGACAGCTTACATGTTTACATTCGCTGGCCATGTGCTTTCAGGAGGGAACAAAAACACACAGACACAATTAATCGTCGATTCCCTGGAAAATATAGGAAAATATGGGCAGTGGGGGGGAAGACAGAAACCCAGAAAATATAGGAAAATATGGGGAATCCTTTTATTTCCTACCTAGGCTCTGCCTAGAGGGTTCTTATTCGCTGGGCTTAAAGGGGCCGGGCAGTGGGCTTCGCCCCGGGCGGTTCACCCGGTCCCCGCCCCGCGGTTCCCCCAGTTGCGCCCCCTTACCTTAGCTTTGCGTATCTCATCTTAGCTTAGCCAGGTCGAGGACGCCCCGCCGAGCCCCCGTCGAGGAAGCCCCGTCGAGCTCGAAGGCCGAGGCAAAAGCAAAAGCAAGAGCAAAAGCAAAGGCAATGCAAAGCACAAGCTCAAAGCAACGGCAACAGCAGCGGCGAGGGGACACAACTCCCCACTAACGCCCCACCAGCGACGTTCTTTTCCCTTAACTTCCTCCCGCGGCCTGTTGAGACGCTAGCACCGACACTCAAGCCCCACCAGTACGACTAACATCACACCCTCGACCAGCGCGTAGAGCCCGAGGTCACTACAAAGCGTCCCACGACCAGCACTAGAGGCCGAGGTCCCTACAAAACGTCCCACGACTTGCACGTAGTGGACTACGACGAAGCTAAGCAAGGCAAAAGCAAAAGGCTTAGCTTAGCTTAGCTTAGTTTAGCTTAACCAGGCTACAGCAATAGCAACAGCAAAGCAAAGTACTAGCAACGCAAAGCCAAGCAAAGCAAAAGCAAAAGCAAAGCAAAGGAAAGGCAACAGCAAAAGCAATGTGCAACAGTACGATCAGAGAGCCCATGCAAAACACATGCGCGCGTGTGTGTGTGTGTGCGAAGGCAAAGCAAAAGCAAAACCAAGCAAAAGCAAAAACAAGCAAAAGCAAAGGCAACTACGACGATGAGGAGAAGGAAGAGGACGGCGTTTACCGTTACTACTAATGCTGCTTTCCTAGGGGCTCCAACTCCTAGGTAGGGTCGCACTGGGGTAATTTGTGTGTATTTGTTTGTGCGTCCCAGGGCCCCTTCAATGCTTTCATCAGCGCGATGTGAGGGACGAGGGAACGCAATTGATGCCCCGCTTAGGTAGCGATCTTCGTGCGTCTCTTCGTAATTACCCTGCATCTGTTCGATCACAACCCCAAAAAGAAGCCGCCCCGGGTCCCCCGCCGGCACCCAATGACAAAGGTACCGGATATCCCTCCAGGGTCCGGGGTCCGGGGGCCATTTCGGTTTGCGGTGCCCCTGCAATCCCCAGAGGGGTCTCAGACAGCCCAAGAAGCCATCAAGACGCTTCGAGAGAGGCCCATTTGGGGCCCAGAAGGGCCCAAGAGGCCCTCCAGGAGGCCTCCGCGAAGCCAAAAACCTTGAACAACCAAACGAATACCTATGTTTGTTGCTTTCTCGCCTTCTGATTGACCCAAAAGGGGGTCCAGCGAAAAGGGGGTGGTGCAATAGATTTGGTGTTTAAGATTTGTGGGGTTGCAGTAGATTTGGGGTGTGCAACACATTCCGGTGCGCAAGCGTATTGCTGGATTCTCGCGTGCAATACAGTGGTTGCAAAACATACATTCTCTGGCGCAATACATTTGTAATACGGTGGGGGCGTTGGTTAAGGAATGTGCCCAGGGTGCTTCAGACCCTGGAGGATTCCTTATCTGATGAGGGCGGCGGTGATATCCATGGCCAAGCTTCGATTGGAGTTCCACCAGTCTCCAGACCCTGGTTTCCTTATCTAAGGGCTCCTTATCCAATGCCCCCACCGTGCAATTTACCCAAATCTATTGCACCACCCCCTTTCAGCTGGACCCCACTTTGGATTACGAGGAGCCTTTTCGCATCGCATCGGCTGGCGAGGCTTCCCGATGGCCCCAATGCTACCCCCGGAGAGGCCCACAGAGGCCCCCCCAAAGGCTCCCAGTAGGCTTAAGTCGGGCCTGTCCCTCTACAGGAGGAATATTCAAAAATAGGTAAAAATAATCTGGGGACTATTTTTCCCAACCCTCCTGCGTTGGGTTCTCGTTTTGAATAGAGCACTGCTCGCGCGTCTCCTTCCCACCCCCTCCCGTCCCTCTCTTCCCCCCTGCCTTTTACCTCGCTCGTCGCTGCGTGCCAGCCTGCCTCCTACCTAGTCATCCCTGTGCCACTTTCGAGGGCTGCTGGGGGCTGCGATCTGTGAAGCTGTCGCCACTTTCGAGGGCTGCTGAGGGGCCCAGCACAGTGGGTACTCACCGCAGACTCAAATGGGACCTCGCCATCCCTGGGGGGCTGCGATCTGTGAAACTGTCGCCACTTTCGAGGGCTGCTGAGGGGCCCAGCACAGTGGGTACTCACCGCAGACTCAAATGGGACCTCGCCATCCCTGGGGGGCTGCGATCTGTGAAACTGTCGCCAATTTCGAGGCCTGCTGGGGGGCCCAGCACAGTGGGTACTCACCGCGGACTCAAATTAGACCTCGCCATCCCTGGGGGGCTGCGATCTGTGAAACTGTCGCCACTTTCGAGGGCTGCTGGGGGGCCCAGCACAGTGGCCACCGCAGACTCAAATTAGACCTCGCCATCCCTGGGGGGCTGCGATCTGTGAAACTGTCGCCACTTTCGAGGCCTGCTGGGGGGCCCAGCACAGTGGTACTCACGCAGACTCAAATTAGACCTCGCCATCCCTGGGGGGCTGCGATCTGTGAAACTGTCGCCACTTTCGAGGCCTGCTGGGGGGCCCAGCACAGTGGGTACTCACCGAGATTCAAATTAGACCTCGCCATCCCTGGGGGGCTGCGATCTGTGAAACTGTCGCCACTTTCGAGGGCTGCTGAGGGGCCCAGCACAGTGGGTACCACGGCAGATTCAAATTAGACCTCGCCATCCCTGGGGATCTGTGAAACTGTCGCGATCAGTGTGAAACTCGTCGCCACTTTCGACTGCTGGGGGGCGCCAGCACAGGACTGCCAGGGATTCAAAAGGGACCTCGCCATCCCTGGGGGGCTGCGATCTGTGAAACTGTCGCCACTTTCGAGGCCTGCTGAGGGGCCCAGCACAGTGGGTACTCACCGCAGACTCAAATGGGACCTCGCCATCCCTGGGGGGCTGCGATCTGTGAAACTGTCGCCACTTTCGAGGGCTGCTGAGGGGCCCAGCACAGTGGGTACTCACCGCAGGCTCACACTAGACCTCGCCATCCCTGGGGGGCTGCGATCTGTGAAACTGTCGCCACTTTCGAGGGCTGCTGAGGGGCACAGCACAGCGGGTACTCACTGCAGACTCACATTAGACCTCGCCATCCTTGGGGGGCTGCGATCTGTGAAACTGTCGCCACTTTCGAGGGCTGCTGAGGGGCCCAGCACAGTGGGTACTCACCGCAGGCTCAGATTAGACCTCGCCATCCTTGGGGGGCTGCGGTCTGTGAAACTGTCGCCATTTTCGAGGGCTGCTGAGGGGCGCAGCACAGTGGGTACTCACCGCATATTCAACTTAGACCTTGCCATCCCTGGGGGGGCTGCGATCTGTGAATCCGTCGCCGCTTTCGAGGGCTGCTGAGGGGCCCAGCACAGTGGATACTCACCGCAGACTCAATTTAGACCTCGCCATCCTTGGGGGGCTGCGATCTGTGAAGCTGTCGCCACTTTCGAAGGCTGCTGAGGGGCACAGCACAGTGGGTACTCACCGCAGACTCAAATTCGACCTCGCCATCCCTGGGGGGCTGCGATCTGTGAAACTGTCGCCACTTTCGAGGGCTGCTGAGGGGCCCAGCACAGCGGGTACTCACCGCATATTCAGATTAGACCACGCCATCCTTGGGGGGCTGCGATCTGTGAAACTGTCGCCACTTTCGAGGGCTGCTGAGGGGCCCAGCACAGTTGGTCCTTACCGCAGTCTCAGATTAGACCTCGCCATCCTTGGGGGGCTGCGATCGGTGAAATTGTCGCCACTTTCGAGGGCTGCTGAGGGGTCCAGCACACTTGGTACTCACCGCAGACTCAGATTAGACCTCGCCATCCCTGGGGGGATTGCGATCTGTGAAATTGTCGTCACTTTCGAGGGCTGCTGAGGGGCACAGCACAGTGGGTACTCACCGCAGACTCAGATCAGACCTCGCCATCCCTGGGGGGCTGCGATCTGTGAAACTGTCGTTACTTTCGAGGGCTGTTGAGGGGCCCAGCACAGTGGGTACTTACCGCAGACTCAGATTAGACCTTGCAATCCCTGGGGGGCTGCGATCTGTGAAATTGTCGCCACGTTCGAGGGCTGCTGAGGGGCCCAGCACAGTGGGCTTCCCGCACGTCTTTCTCTTGCTCTTCGTTCCCGACTCCCCATGTCCTCTTCGAGCCTGTAGTTGTCGCCCCTCGTTCTTGTATGGTTCTCCTGCGCATCATGCCATAGGCGCGTGTCCCAAGTAGCTTACACATCAAACGACGGATCCTGCAACTTGATTGTCCATGCAAGTTTCGGCCAACTCCTCGTTTCCCATGGTACAAATGGGTTGGGTACGTCACATTGTTTTGAATATTTGGTGTATTTTCTGATCATTCCCAGCCCTCCTTGGTTGGGTATTCGTTTTGAATAGAGGGGTGTGGTCGCGTCCTCCTTCTCCCGCCTCCCGCATCCCGCCTCCCTCTTGTCTCCTCTCGCCGTCCCTGGGGGGCTGCGATCTGTGAAACTGTCGCCACTTTTTCGAGAGCTGATGGGGAGGCCAGCAGAGAGGGTGCTCACCGCGGATCCAAACGGGGCATCGCCGTCCCTGGGGGGCTGCGATCAGTGAAATTGTCGCCACTTTCGAGGGCTGCTAGGGAGGCCAGCAGAGAGGGTACTCACCGCGGATCCAAACGAGACCTCGCCGTCCCTGGGGGGCTGCGATCTGTGAAACTGTCGCCGCGTCCGAGGGCTGCTGGGGAGGCCAGCAGAGAGGGTACTCACCGCGGATCCAAACGGGACCTCGCCGCCCCTGGGGGGCCGCGATCAGTGAAACTGTCGCCATTTTCGAGGGCTGCTGAGGGGCCCAGCACAGTGGGTACCCACCGTAGGCTCACACTAGGCCAGCAGAGAGGGTACTCACCGCGAGCGGGATCTCGCCGTCCTTGAGGGGCTGCGATCTGCGAAGCTGTCGCCACTTTCGAGGGCTCCTGGTGGGTCCTGCGGAGTGAGGCGCCGCGCGGATCTGAGCGGGACCTCGCCGTCCCTGGGGGGGGGGGGCTGCGATCTGCGAAACCGTCGCCACTTTCGAGGGCTGCTGGTGGGTCCAGCAGAGTGAGGCACAGCGCGGACCTGAGCGGGACCTCGCCGCCCCTGGGGGGTTGCGATCTGCGAAATTGTGGCCACCTTCGAGGGCTGCTGGTGGGTCCTGCGGAGTGAGGCACCGCGCGGATCTGAGCGGTACCTCGCCGTCCCTGGGGGGGCTGCGATCTGCGAACTTGTCGCCACTTTCGAGGGCTGCTGGTGGGTCCTGCGGGGCGAGGCACCGCGCGGATTTGAGCGGGACCTCGCCGTCCCTGGGGGGCTGCGATCTGCGAGCATGTCGCCACTTTCGAGGGCTGCTGGTGGGTCCAGCGGGGCGAGGCACCGCGCGGATCTGAGCGGGACATCGCAATCCTTGGGGGGCTGCGGGCCTCACGAATGCCGTTCGCAGGAGTATATGCGCCCATGTCACGTCATCACCTCCGTATAACGACCCCCAATCTACTCATGCCCCGCATTGCGCATGGGTTGGGTACGTCGCCAGGTGTATATATATATATATATATATATATATATATATATATATATATATATATAATTTTCGAGGGCTGCTGGGGAGGCCAGCAGAGAGGGCACTCACTGCGGATCCAAACGTGACCTCGCCGTCCCTGGGGGGCTGCGATCTGCGAAACTGTCGCCACTTTCGAGGGCTGCTGGGGAGGCCAGCAGAGAGGGCAGTCACTGCGGATCCAAACAGGACCTCGCCGTCCCTGGGTGGCTGCGATCTGCGAACTTGTTGCCACTTTCGAGGGCTGCTGGGGAGGCCAGCAAAGAGGGTACTCACCGCGGATCCAAACGGGACCTCGCCGTCCTTGGGGTGCTGCGACCTGTGAAATTGTCGCCACTTTCGAGGGCTGCTGGGGAGGCCAGCAGAGAGGGTACTCACCGCGGATCCACACGGGACCTCGCCGTCCCTGGTGGTCGAATTTGTAGCCATTTTCGATGGCTGCTGGGGGGGCCAGCAGAGAGGGTACTCACCGCGGATCCAATCGGGACCTCGCCGTCCTTGGGGGCTGCGATCTGCGAAACTGTCGCCACTTTCGGGGGCTGCAGGGGAGGCCAGCGGAGAGGATACTCACCTCGGATCCAAACATGACCTCGCCATCCCTGGGGGGCTGCGATCTGTGAAACTGTCGCCACTTTCGAGGGCAGCTGGGGAGGCCAGCAGAGAGGGTACTCACCGCGGATCCAAACAGGACCTCGCCGTCCCTGGGGGGCTGCGATCTGCGAAACTGTCATGCGGGGTGAGGCACCGCGCTGACCTGAGCGGGACCTCCCCTGGGGGGCTGCGATCTGCGAAACGGTCGCCACTTTCGAGGGCTGCTGGTGGGTCCTGCAGAGTGAAGCACAGCGCGGACCTGAGCGGGGCCTCGCCGTCCCTGGGGGGTTGCGATCTGCGAGATTGTCGCCACTTTCGAGGGCTGCTGGTGGGTCTGCGGAGTGAGGCACCGCGCGGACATGAACGGGACCTCGCCGTCCCTGGGGGGTTCCGATCTGCGAAACTGTCGCCACTTTCGAGGGCTGCTGGTGGGTCCTGCGGAGCGAGGCGCCGCGCGGACCTGAGCGGGACCTCGCCGTCCCTGGGGGGCTGCGATCTGCGAAGCTGTCGCCACTTTCGATGGCTGCTGGTGGGTCCTGCGGAGTGAGGCACCGCGCGGGCCTGAGCGGGACCTCGCCGACCCTGGGGGGCTGCGATCTGCGAAACTGTCGCCACTTTCGAGGGTTGCTGGTGGGTCCTGCGGAGTGAGGCGCCGCGCGGACCTGAGCGGGACCTCGCCGTCCCTGGGGGCTGCGATCTGCGAAATTGTTGCCATTTTCGAGGGGCTGGGTGTCCTGTGGAATGAGGCACCGCGTGGCCTGAGGGGGCCTCGCCGTCCGGGAGGGCTGCGATCTGCGAAACTGTCGCCACTTCGAGGGCTGCTGGTAGGGTCCTGCGGAGTGAGGCACCGCGCGGATCTGAGCGGGACCTCGCCGTCCCTGGGGGGCTGCGATCTGCGAAACTGTAGCCACTTCGAGGGCTGCTGGTGGGTCCTGCGGGGCGAGGCACCGCGCGGACCTGAGCGGTACCTCGCCGTCCCTGGGGGGCTGCGATCTGCGAACTTGTCGCCACTTTCGAGCGCTGGTGGTGGGTCCAGCGGAGTGAGGCGCCGCGCGGATCTGAGCGGGACCTCGCCGTCCCTGAGGGGCTGCGTTCTGCGAAGGTTTTGCCACTTTCGAGGACTGCTGGTGGGTCCTGCGGAATGAGGCACCGCGCGGATGTGAGTGGGACCTCGCCGTCCTTGGGGGGGCTGCGATCTGCGAAGCTGTCGCCACTTTCGAGGGCTGCTGGTGGGTCCTGCAGAGTGAGGCACAGCGCGGACCTGAGCGGGGCCTCGCCGTCCCTGGGGGGCTGCGATCTGCGAGCATGTCGCCACTTTCGAGGGCTGCTGGTGGGTCCTGCGAAGTGAGGCACCGCGCGGACCTGAGCGGGACCTCGCCGTCCCTGGGGGGCTGCGATCTGCGAAGCTGTCGCCACTTTCGAGGGCTGCTGGTGGGTCCTGCGGAGTCAGGCACCGCGCGGACCTGAGCGGGACCTCGCCGTCCCTGGGGGGCTGCGATCTGCGAAACTGTCGCCACTTTCGAGGGCTGCTGGTGGGTCCAGCGGGGCGAGGCACCAGGCAGATCTGAGCGGGACATCGCAATCCTTGGGGGCTGCGAGCCTCACGAATGCCGCTCGCAGAAGTATATGCGCCCATGTCGCGTCATCACCTCCGTATAACGACTCCCAATCTACTCGTGCCCCGCATTGCGCAGGGGTTGGGTACGTCGCCAGGGTAATTCTTTATCTTTCATCCAAAATCCCCCTGTAGGGAGACAAACCCGACTTAACAGTAGGCCCCAACATGCCCCCAAGGACATCCTACAAGGCCCGCGCAGGCTCCCAAGAAGCCCCCACGAGGCCTCTTAGCCCCCAAGCGGCCCCCAAGAGGCCCCCAGGAGGCCCCCCCAGAGGTCCCCACGAGGCCCCCAAGAAACCCCAAAGTGGGCCCCGGAAGCCCCAATAGCCTCTAAGACGCCCCCAAGAGGCCCTCAAGAGGACCCGCAAAGGCCCCCCTCGGCGGCCCAGGAGGCCCCCAGGACGGCCCAGGAAGCATCCGCGAGTGAGGAGGCCGAACGGTCATTCACTGTCCCTAGGTGCGTGGCCGAAATGGGGTTCCGTTGTGCGGATTTGTGCTGCGTTGCGTTGTTGTCGTCGTCCGCGCCCGCGACCCACCCGCGACCCACCTGCGACCCACCCCGCGAGCCAACCCGCGACCCACGCCGCGACCCATCTTGCGACCCACCCACGACCAACCCGCGACCCAATTACGGTGCTTAGACGCACAGTTCGGCGCTTGCCGCGGGCTCGTTGTATAACGTGTAGGAAACTCGGCGCCTGCGGTAGGCTTCTTCAGAGCTTCTTAGACTGCCGACGACCCCGCCGTTCCCTCACTCGTATCCGCAGCTGCGGGGGGCTATCTACATGCCACGTGTACGCACACCTCGTTCTCGAGCAGTCAGTCGGAGGACACTGCTATTTTGATGTTTGGAGCTTGCTGCCGTTGTTGGTGATGGGACTAAGTTGCTCTGCAGCGATGCGGGCTCGGTGAGCCGACGGTCGTCGCTGCAGCACGATGGCACGGTTTTTGCCATCGGTTGGAATTTGACTTTACCCTTCCTGCGTCCACCATAGCACCATAGCACCTCCCTCCTCTCTCTCTCCCCTCCTCTCTCTCCCCTCCTTCTTTCCACCTCCCTCTGCCTCCTCCCTCCTCGTCCTCTCACTCGATCCATGCGAGCGCGATCAGTTCACAACATGCGGCGACGGATCCGAGTGTGCTTGCGAATTTAGACCGAATGGCAGCAGCAGGAAGCGAGAAAACCCAACGGATGTGGACATTTTCTTATAGGCTTTTGTGTCGTCTTCATCCCCGTGCCCCATGAGGTGGTAGGTGAGAGGAGGCGTAGGTTTCCGAGGAAATAAGCGACGGGATTGGGCGTACGCATCCCTGCCGACGGTTCTTTCACACGTGGGAGATCGAGTCTCACATGTCGAGCGGGCTAGGCTGCAGTACAGAATGCCCAGCCCCTCGTCCGCTTCCAATTGACACGCAGGGGGCACTCCATACTGGCATGTGGAAAATTCCACTTTGATGTTCAGGCCTGCGCACGTGTCTTTTTCGAACCTGGCGATGCTCTCAGGCACGCTGAGGCGACGGTGATAGGCCCTGCCTCGTGCCCCTCTCATGACAACGTTTTTGCCAGCATCCGTGCAGTCACACTCTCAGGCATGAACTTGGTCGCCGTCGACCGCACCTTGGTCGGGCGAGGGTCGGACTGGCACTGGGGGAAGAAAAAAAAAAGAACGCGCAGACTTCAGACAGTTCGGTCTGGCGCCGCCCCCTGTCGGGCTGAGCGCGCTGAGCGTGTGGGGGGGGGGCCAGAGCCAGACCCAAAAACAGCAGCACGGACCTCCAGAAGTTCACGCGCATGCGATTCTCCATTCTTCGAGGATGGAGAGCTCGTGTGTGTGAGTGTTGAAAAGGAACGCGCGCACGCATCCTACCCCCCCAACTGGATTGTTGGGGGTGGGATGCGTTGGCGCGGGCTCGCGGTGCTCGTGCCCCAGCCCCCCTACCTTGTTCCTGCGGCCCCCGAGAGTGAGCTCTCCCTCCTCGCCGCCATCCCCGCGCCGCCCCCACGAAAGGGGGAAAATGACATGCTCCCAGACCCCCTCGGGTAATGAAAAAATCATGACGGGAGGTTTTTCCTAACTCTTCGGCCTCTCGAGGCCCGAACCGGCCCCCGGGACCGTCCAAAGACGACTCAGGATGAAAAACCGGTCCCAGGGAATGGGTCGAGATCTTTGGGGGTCGACGTCATGAAAAAATCATGACGTCGGGGGTCTGGGCTTCGCACTTCCCCGCGGATGTACCGCTGCGCGATTATTGGCGGACGACGAGGCGGCGAACGACCAGCCGCGAACGAATACAAACGGGCGACGAACGACGAAGGACGAGCGACGGCCGACGACCGACGACCGACGACGAACGACGAACGACGAGCGACGAGCGACGATCGGTGACCGGGACGACGACTGTCGACGAACGGCGGACGACGACGAATTACGGACGACGGGCGACGAACGCCGAACGACGTCGCACATGCGGGCGTATCGCATAGCGGCCGCCGCGCGGGGGGTGGGTGGTACGTTCGCATGACGACTGAAAGGCTCCCTCGGGAACCCTCAGGCCGCGTCAGGATTCCTCGGGCGCGGGCCCGCGCGCCGCGTCGGCGGCGGCCTCGGGGCGCGATTCGCGCGGGGCTCGGCGCGCGGCGCCAGGCAGCCTCCTCGCGCGACTGCGGCGCTCGCGCGCGCAGGGAGGGCCTTGCGCATGGCAGGGGCGAGAGTCTCGGAGCGCAGCTTCTCGCGCTGCGGTCGGCGCGCAGCGCCAGGCAGACTCCCTGGTCGACAGAGCAGCGCTCGAGCGCGCGGGCGAGGGAGGGGGAGGGGGAGGGGGAGGGGGGGGAGGAGGAGGAGGAGGAGGAGAGGAGGAGGAGGAGGAGGAGGAGGAGGAGGAGGCGGAGGAGGGGAGGAGGAGGCGGAGGAGGAGGAGGAGGAGGAGGAGGAGGAGGAGGAGGAGGAGGAGGAGGAGGAGGAGGAGGCGGAGGAGGAGGCGGAGGTCGCGTCGCCAGCGGCCCCAGCGAACGATTTTCGCGCGGGGGCCGGCGCGCGGCGCCGCGCGGCTTCCTTGGCGCGACTGGGTGGCGCTCGCGCGCGCAGGAGAGGACTCGCGCGCCGCATCCGCAACGTTCGGGGGTGGACAGACGTCCTACCCTGACACGTCGATTCAGGAATTGGCCGTTTTCGGTTCGCGTGGGGGCGTCGCGGCCGTCATTTTTGCGGGTCCAGGTCCGTCGGTTTCGGTCCCAGGCCGTTTTCCTCAAGGGGAGGTTTACGAAAGGGAGGTTTGTCCACCGCCGAAGTGTTCTCTCGGAGCGCAGGTTCGTGCGCGGGGGATCGGCGCGCGGCGCCAGGCAGCTGCCTCGCGCGAGCTGGCGGCGCTCGAGCGCACGGGGGAGGGCTCGCGCTGCGCCTCGGCGGAGTGGTGCTTCGACGCCGTGGTGCGGATCCGCGAGCGTGACGGCGCCTCGCTGCGCGGAGCGCAGCAGACGCGCCGCACGTGCGGGGGTTTCGCAGCGTGACCGCCGCGCGGAAGAAGAACAACAGAAAGTGGAACAAGTGGAAAAGAAAAGAAGAAGAAACTGGAGACAAGAAGACCAGAAAAAGAAGAGGAAACTGGAGACGAGAACGTGGAAAGACAAGGAAGTGGAAAAAGCGGAAACGAAACGAAGAAAGTGGTAGTCGAACCCCTTTTGGGGGGCCTGCAAGAAGAAACGTGGACTGCATTTCTCGGGGTCCGTCGGGCCGCGTTGGCTGGGGCTTGCTGGGAGCTCTCTGTGGCTTCCTGGGGACTCCTGTGGCCCCCTCGGGGCTTTCGAGAATGTCCGCTGGGGCCTCCTGCGGCCTCCCGAGGCTTCCCAGGGCCTCTCGGGGCTTTCTGGTGCCTCCTGGAACTTCCTGGAGCGTTTGGGGGCGCCTGGTAGCAGTTGGGAACGTCTGGGACGCTCGGGTTGCAGCTGGGGGCGCTTGGGCGCTCCTGGAACGCCTGGGAGCGCCCGGGAGCGCCCGGGAGCGTCGTCTGGGAGCGCTTCTGGAGCGCTTCTGGAGCGCTTCTGGAGCCTTTGGGGGCACCTCAGACTGCCTGCGAGCGTGTGGAGGCGTCTGGGAGCGCCTGGGAGCGCCTGTGGCCGCCTGGGGAGCATTTGGGGCTGCTTGGGAGCGCCTGGGCGTTCCTGGAGCGTCCGACGGCTCCTGGGAGCGTCTGCGAGCGCTTCGGGCCGCCTGAGGAGCGCCTGGGGCCGCCGAGGAGCGCTTGGGCGCTCCTGGGGCGTCTGGGAGGACTCGGGGACATGTCGGGCGTCTGGGAGCGTCTGGAAGCGCTGGCGGCCGCCTGGGGAGCGCCTGGCGGTGCCATCAGGGGCGTTCCTGGAGCGTTGGGGAGCGCCCGGGGGCGTCTGGGAGCGTCTGGAGGCGCTTGGAAGCGGCTGGGACCGCCCGCGGAGCGCCTGGGGCCGCTTGGGAGCGCTTGGGCCCTCCTGGGGCGTCTGGGAACTCTGGGGAACGCTTTGGAGCGTCGGGGGAACGGGTCCCGTTGCTTTTGCCAGGGATCGCGGCCTCGGGGGCGCCGATCGTTTGTTGCTGTTGTTGTTGTTGTTGTTGTTGTTGTTGTTGTTGCTGCTGTTGCTGTTGTTGCTGTTGCTATTGTTGTTGTTGCTGTTGTTGTTAGTGTTGTTGTTGTTGTTGTTGTTGTTGTTGTTGTTGTTGTTGTTGTTGTTGTTATTGATGTTGCTGTTGTTGGTGTTGCTGCTGTTGCTGTTGTTGTTGAAGTGGGCGGGTATCGAGGGTTGGGGTATACGGAATGCAAGACACGCGTGCCAGTACGAGCGAACAACATTAAACTGATTGTTGTTGTTGTTGCTGTTGTTGTTGCTGCTGCTGTTGTTGTGGTTGTTGTTGTTGCTGCTGCTGCTGTTGCTGTTGCTGTTGCTGTTGCTGTTGCTGTTGTTGTTTGTTGTTGTTGTTGAACATTATTAATTCTAAAGAATAATTATTGTTGGGCCCCCTGGTGCGCGCCCCCCCCGCCGCGCCTAGGCCGCAGCCACGTTTTCATCATTTTCGTGAGGAAGCCTCAGGTAATTCGAGTTGATCAAGATCCGGTTGTTTTGTTGTAATCCGCTTTCCCTTGCAAAAAACACTATAAAATGACATTTCTTGTTCTAATATAATCAAATTTCAAGAATCCCTTGCAAAAAATAAGGTAAAGTGGACATTCGCGCGCGCAAGACGAAATCCTTCCAAAAGCTTAGTGTTCGGAACGATTTCAACATAAAAACATCAAAAAACCAATGGTTTTTCAACAAAAAAAATGTCAAAATCTCATCCCGCGCGCTCTTGCGGATTCGTAGGAAACCCAACACTTTTTAAACATTTCTGTCAAACGGGCTTTTGCGAGCAACTTTTTCGAACTTCTGCGACAACGGTTGCGCACCTGCCAGGGCCATCATCCCTGTCAAATAATACCATGCGGGACACATTCGTTTTTTCTTCGCGCGCGCTCGGTCATTCGGCGACGGCGACGGCGCCCCGAATAAGTGACCAAGTTCTGTGGGTGTGTACCCCACGCCAGTGTAGTAGCCACGGTCGTCCGCACGCCACGAAGTGAAGTGTCCCAACGTCATAGGGCGGGAAGCTGGGTTTGGGTGGTCGCGAAGAGTCGTTTGGATATTTGGTAGAGCTTGTAATGCCCCCCCACGAAGTGGGGGTATTGCCTGGTGTCGCGTATGAAAACCCTGGCACTGGGGAGAACACCACGCGTTCGGGTAAAATGATTGTTGTTGTTGTTGTTGTTGTTGTTGTTGTTGTTGTTGTTGTTGTTGTTGTTGTTGTTGAATTCTCATTTCTGAAGATGATTATTGTTGATCCCCCCCCACCGTTGCATACCGTTTTTTCTCAATCAAAGTGTGCCCCTCGACGCTGGCACCCTGTTTTTTGACAGGGAAAGTCTTGATGCTCAAACTGGGCCCCTGGCGCCCGGGTTACAACAACAACGGCTCCCGCCTGAGACTTCCTTACAATTTAGCCAGGACCCCCGCGCCCGCCCGAGACTTCCTCGCATTTTATTCAGGAATCGCGCTCTCGCTTGGGACTTCCTTACAATTTATTCAGGAATCGCTCTCCCGGCGCTCTGGAGTCGGGCTCTCGCTGGAGACTTCGCTTGAAACTTAATGAAGAATGGCCTTGCGTTGGAATTTCTTGCAATTTGCCCAAGCGCCGCGCTCCCGACACCCAGGCACCCAGGAGTCGGCACCCGTTGTGGCCCCATATGCATGCCCTTCGTGTCCCCGCTGGTCGCCCTTCGTGGCCTAATTCGTGCCCTTCGTGGCCCTGCTGTCGTTCTCTCTCGCTCTCGCTTTCGATAGTCGTCGCCGTCGTCGTCGTCGTCTTCGACGTCGTTAGTCGTGTCGTCTCGTCGTCGTCGTCGTCGTCGCCGTGGTCGGTCCCTGTCCGTCCCTCTTGGGGTCGACGGTCCGCGGCCGCCCCGCCGATCAGCGCTGCCGCTGGCCAGGCCGACGGTCCGCGGCCGCCCCGCCGCTTGCCGGGGCCCGGCCTGCAGGGAAGAAAGGTATACCCACCAAAAGGGGCTCGATCGAAGACGAAGAGGGCGGGTATCGAGGGTTTGGGAAATACGCGTTATTGGACACTCGAGCATATAAGGGCGAACGGTCTTAAAATTATTGTTGTTGTTATTGTTGTTTTTTGTCACCCCCTCCTTGGCCAGACGCCGCTCGCCCTCCGGAGCTTCCTGGCATTAATTTTGAGCCTGTGGTGCCGGCGGGCCACACCAGAGAGCCCCCCGCGATCCCGTGTCGATCGAGAGAGGTACCCGTTAAAAAATGCTGTGCGCACAAGGTGAGGGAGCCGTGGCCAGCCTTCCGCAGTGCTCGGGGGCGGGCGGGTGAGCTTTCGCTCGCCGGCGTAGTGCATCTGGCACTCCGCTGAGCGCTCCAACCACTAGTCGCCGCTGCCTGACCACTTGTCAGGACCGACGCTTACTCTGGAAAGAGCGAGAGAGAGAGAGAGAGAGAGAGAGAAAGAGAGAGAGATAACAGAGACTAGAGAGTAGAGAGTAGAGAGGCGAGAGTAGAGAGAGAGGAAGAGAGAGAGAGAGAGAGAGAGAGAAATAACAGAGACTAGAGAGTAGAGAGAGAGAGAGAGAGAGAAAGAGAGAGACTAGAGAGTAGAGAGTCGAGAGTAGAGAGTCGAGAGTAGAGATAAAGAGAGAGAGTCCCCTTCCTGCGTACACTTCGAGAGAGAGAGAGATATCCCTTTCTGCACACACCAGTCCCTCCTGAGAGCCTGCGTCTAGCAGGCTGACACCATGCCGTATCGCTGTGAGCGTGTCGTGGGCGATCGGCACCCTCAGCTGAGGGTCTGGTCCGAAACATTATGGAGATGGGAATGGAAATAAGGGAAAACAGCAGTACTCTCGGGTGGGAAAGAGAGAGAGAGAGAGAGAGAGGCCCAACGCGCGCCTTGAAGATCAGGAGCTGGTTGTCGGCACCCGACACTGTCTGGCTAACGGAGGGGGGCTGGGGGGGAGGTCAGGAGAGGGGATGGGACAAAATCCTCGCCATACTACACAGTTGGGCAGTGCGGCACCCACAGGAGTCTAAAGGCCACGCAGTGCAAGGTGCTGACCTGTTCGGGTCGTCAACCCTAGGGTTCAGAAGTCACTAGGAACGTCAAACAAACACATGCCCACGGATCGGGGTTCGTCTCCAAGGTACAGCTTGCGAGACCTACAACCTTCACTCATGCGCCTAGGTTCTGAGAACACCTGATAGTTCAGCCCTCGTCTCCAAGGTACAGCTTGCGAGACCTACTAGCGTGAATACCAGGAAAGATGGGAAAACAGCTCGGCTTGTGTGTGTGAGATGGGGGAGGATTATGACAGATGGAGGTGGGAGATAGGGACCCTTGGGCACGCCTCTCCTGGAGATACAAGCTTCCTCTCTCAGGGTGGCCGCCTCATGTCGGGTCATTGCGCACACTGGAAGGCTAGGGCATCCGCCGCCACAGTCCTGTTAAATCAACGTTTCTGAGGCCGCATCACAAACCTGTCTGGTCTTACGTGGTGTACTTCGGGGGGGAGGGGACAGGGACCCAAGCTTCGGGAGGAGAGTAACCGCACTTCCTAGGGGGAGCTGTCCTGCCATCACTGGAATCGAGGCCCCAACCAGGCCCGTAATCACATGACGGAGGATTGCTTGCTCCTGGGTATTAGCTATCGAGAACGGCAAGGAGAACATATTTGCTATCTCCTGGAGGGATCCTGCTTCCCTCACATGTGTCCAGTGGAGAGTGATGTACGCTTTCAACACAGCTAGCATTCTCCACTCCTGGACAGGAACCAGCAACCCTATTAAACATGCCGAAAGAAAGCCAAACACGAATCCGATCACGATCAACTCACAAGAAGATCTATCCGAACTCACCCCATACTTGTTCTGGTACTGTTCTCCGACTTCCGAGTCTGAATCGGGTTCCCAAAGAGAGGATTCTCAGAGCGCACTCCCATTGATGATTCCGAGGGTGAGGTTGATCCTGCGGGCCTTCGCAACGGGCACCGCCCGCTTCGGGAAGTGGGCCTGGATCCACTTGTTGACCTGGGCTACCACCATCTTGTCCGACATCCTCTCCTCCAGGACCTGAGCTGCCTGTGCCCAGGTGAGACGGTTCGGTAACTGCTTCTTGGCACCAACCAAAGACTGTAACCATCCCAACTCAGGACGTTTCATGAGCGCCGTACTGTCAGGTGCTTGAGCCACAGGAGTCGGACTCGCCTCACGATCACATTCCTTCTCTTTGAGTTTTGCCTTGCCATCGGTGTCCGCAGACTCCAGCAGCTTCGAGAGTTTGTCCCCGAAGCTGGACTTCATCGCCTGAGCTACGTACTTGCTCTGCTTGCGCAGCTTCATCTCCTCAATCCTGTCCTGCTTGTCCTTGAGGGTCGCCTTGAACTCGGGACCCACTGCTGCCAGTTCCTCCCGAAGTCGTTGAACGTGATCGTCGTGGCGGCCTGGCGAGCGAGACCTCGCCCGTGGGGAACCATACCCGCGGTTGTCCTTGCCTGAGCTCCGGTGGCGATCCTCATAGCGATCGCGGTAGTCAGGGCCATCTCGGCTGTGGTAGTCCCGTCTATCACGATAGTCACGGAGATCACGGACATCACGAAAATCACGAAAGTCTCGTACCTCCCTGTGTACCAGGTAGTCACGTCCCTCTCCTCGGTCGTCACGGTCCCGCCGTTCGGGACTGTACTTGCGGTCGGGATCACGGTCACGATCTCGGTCTCGGTCACGGTCTTCACTGCGGTCACGGGGGCGAGGATCAGGAACTCGATAATTGAAGGGGGTTTCAGTTCGGTTTCGGACCCCCGCGATTTAAGGAATTCTGCAAATGCGGCGTGGTGCGATGGTGGCGATGGCGCTGATGATTGGATGATGTTGTTTGCCGCAGTGACGTGGGTTCGCTGTTCAACTCCAGGCATGGGTGGCCCCATTCTCACGCCATGCACGCGCGAGCCCAGCATTTTGCCTGCATCGCAAGCGCTGCCGAGCCTCGAGACTACTTGCTGCGTCAGGACCCGAGGCGCCGCGTCAAAGCCCCCCAGCCAGCGTGACCTCCGCCACGTGGGAGAGGAACGCCTTCGTCGGCAGGGAGTAGGTGTTGCCGTCATCGACCGAGTGCGTCTTTGTGACGTTCTTCCTGTACTGGAACTCCGTCACCCAGCGGGCCCACTTCCGCCGATCCGAGGTAGTCGGCAGGCGACCGCCAAGGCGCTTCTTGAGCCACCTCTTGAGGACCGACCAACGGTTCTCGAAGTGGTTCGTCGTGAAGCCGCGCTGCTTCTTGACCTCCCCCTTGGAGTGGACGACGATCTCGTGAGGCGGCTGACCTTGGATTTGTTCAGGAAGACCTCGTCAGCCTGCACTATGAATTTGGCCTGCTTCTTCTTGGAGATAGTCTTTTTCACGCTCTTCTTGCCACTGGCCTTGGCCAGTTTCTTGAAGGCCTCGTGCAGCTTCGGGAGGGAGATCTTGTCGGCGATGTAAGACGCGGCGACATCCTGGAACTTCTCCATCCAGGGGCCCGCGACGTTGTGCTGCTTGCCGAGCTCGTGGACGATCTTCAAGTGCGGGTACTCCTGGGCCCACATGACCATGCAGTCGAAGAATGGGAGCCAGTTTGACGCCTTGACGTCTGCCAACAGGGTGCCCTTCGTCATTGAGATCTCAACGTCGCCGCATGCGTCGCAGCAGCTGGCGCGGTCGTGCCGAGGGCCCCGCCGCTGCCAGCGCGCCGCGCGGTCAGACGTCTCAGACTTGACCTTCATGGTGAACTCAGAGCCGCACTCCTGGCAGCAGTACTCATCGGGAACCACGCCGAAGTGCTGGGCAAAGACCATCAGCGGCGTCGTGGGGTCCTTCGGATACGGCGACATGTCCTCGATGTTGGCGTACTTGACAACAGCGAGAAACTCCTCCCTCGTGTCGAAAGTCGCCGCGTCGAGCGCCTTCTTGAAGCTCTTGATGTTGTTGTACGTGCGCGCCATGCCTGCCATCGCCGCAAGCGCCCCCGATATGTGGTCTGCCGATGCGCCCTGGAGCCAGAACAGCTGCGGTGCAAGCGAAGCGACGGGTGAAGGAATTGTGGCTGCGCGGCGAAAAGAGACCACGGTAATCGCGGGCCAAGGGTAGAGAGTGGGCCAGATCGTGCGCGCGCAGAGCAGAAGGTAGATCGTGCTAGAGAGCACGCAAGATATCGATGCAATCCCCTTGAACCCCCACCACGGAGCCTGCTGGGCTATGGCTGGCTAGAGGAGGGCCGCAGAGGCAAGGGCGCGCGGGCGCCATCGCACGCGATATCTATCCTTGCCACGCGCGCAGCTTGCCTATAAAAGGCTACCACATTGTTTACATCCCCCAACGATCTGGGTACGCCCCAACAGTCACATGCCTTCCCGAACGAATTCGGCTACCAACCGCAGCTAGACTCATCTGCTACGTCTGGCCCCCCGCGGCTGCGGCCTCACTCAGTCCTCGTCCGAGTCGATCGCCACGGCGCCTGTTGGGGGCTCAGGAGCAAGGCGGCCGACTGAGGGCGCGCAAAGGAATCGCCCGTTACACGTTGCCAGAAGGGGCAGCCGTGCTCGCGACCAAACGGCGCGCAACTCAAGCGCCCGCTGGTCAACGAACGGGCGATTCCTATGACGCCTCGCAAGCGCCGCCCGACTTCTGCACTCCCCGAGCCTGGGAAGAGCCCCTGGATCGTCTCCTTGTCCACGGGCTTCGCCTCGAACACCTCCCGCTTGGCAGCCCCCTCGGTCGGGTCCCGCTTGATTGGCGCGCGAGGCATCTGCTCCCGCTTGGCGCTGCGATCCTCCTTCTTGGCGGGCGCGCCCTTCTGCAAGGCCTTGAACCCTTCGCTGATCGCACTCCTCTTCAAGACGTTGAACTTCGCGAGCGTGATGCCGCCTGCCTGGTGGAGCCCCCAGAGCCGCTCGATCTCCTGCGCGGGGGCCCCGAGCGGCGGCTCTTCCTCGCCCTCGTAGTCGCCGCGGTCGCCACCGAGGCGGTCGCGCCTGAAGCCGCCCGCGAAAGGATCGGGGGGCGCCGCGCGCCCCCCCTGGGCGCCGGCTTTCGCCCGCTTGGCTGGCGGGCCCTCCTCTGGCGCGGCTTCGGCAGCCATCGGGGCCGCGGGCGCGCCCGCTGGCGTGAGCGCGGCCTCTGGCTGAACCGCTGGCGGGGCCTCCTCTGGCGCGGCTTCGGCTGCCATCGGGGCCGCGGGCGCGCCCGCTGGCGGGGGCGCGGCCTCTGGCTGAACCCTGTGCACGGGCTCCCCGAAGAGCGAGGTCCCGCGGGTGGTCGACACAGTGGGCACTTGTTCGCCGCACATCAAGCGCTTCGCAAAATTCAAGGACCACTCCGCCTTCTCCTTGAAGTCGGACGGGTAGTTGTTCGGAGAGGTCGGGTCGTCCTTGTGCCTGCCGCAGCACGCGCGCGCCTCGGGCGAGTAGTTGAAGAGGTCAGGCTTTGATTTCTTGCTGTATGTGTAGAAAGGCACGACGCCGTCCTCTGGAAACTCATCGGATGCCAAACAGAAATGCACGCGCGTGTCCGTGGTCACGACGACGTGGGACCTCGCGAGCAGGGCCTTCATGTCCTCTTCCTCCGTGATCTGCTTCAGGGAGGGCGCGATGAGGGCCATGAGCTGCTGGATCGTGATCACCATTAATTTCCCTTGGCGCCAGTCTGCCACCATCCGCTTCTCCAGAGCATTGTCGTAGCTGTTGTTCACGGCCTGGCGGGGCGCCCCTGGGGCGAACGTGCTGGACCCCCACCTCGCCCACAGCGTGGAATCCTCCTCGCTCGGGTTGAGGAAAGCCTTTAACACGGACGCGTCCTGCTTGTGCAAGCCCCCGTCGTCGAACACCGCGGGCGGCGCCCTCTCCACGGGCTCGCCCTTGAAGAAATCAAAGTGATTGGCGGTGACAATTGAAGGCTCAGGTGCGCCCTCCCTGTCATCGCCTTCAAGGGCATCGATCTCGAGCATGGACATCAAGAACGCAAGTGTCTTCGACGTCGTCGACTTCCCCACCCTGGTCTTGCCGATCCAGAGCACGCCGTTGCGGTGGAGAGTTGGCAGGATCTTCACGAGCACCTCGTTGATGAACCACGGCTCGAAGTCCTTTAGCGTGAGCACCCAGACAGAGCGGTGCTTGGCGTTGATGCGCCCGCTCGCGTGGTTCCGCAGCGCCTGGACCACGCGGGGCTCCTCCCAGCCGTAGATTTTCGACTGCGGGTCGTTGATCTCCTGGGGGCGGGGGAACAACGGCGCTGCTGGGCTAGCCGCAATCGCTCGGCGGTCAAAAGGCCCGCGCGGCCGAAGATAGGGGTCGGGGGGAGAGGGGGGAATGGGGCTAACCAGGTGGCGCCGTGTTCCTCGGCCCTGCTGTCCTTGTCCGCGAACTCCATGAACTGATTGCTGTTGTTGCTCTTCGGGCCCTTCTTCTCGATGTAGCGGTGCCCTTCCTGCTTCTTATCCCACTCGGTCGCGCGCTTGGCAGGCTTTGCCGTGGCGGTCAGCGTGGAGAAGCGAATCTGTAGGCCGCCGAGTTTCTCCAGGAGGTAACAGATCGCATTGCGGCCTGCTCTGTACTGGTTCCCATACTGATACACGACGCCCGTACCATGACACATGGGCTCGCAGTTGGCCATCTTCAGGAACTGGCCCTTCAGGTCAACGTCTTTGAAAATGTGCACTTTGCCATTGCCAGCGCCCAAGACGAAAATCTGCATGGCGTGCGGCCCACCAGGCTGGCTCTTGAGGTTGAACGGTGGAGGGGGGCCACTGAAATTGGACTTCGTGGCAAGGTCCTTGACCACGTCCAAACAGCACGGTTGCCCATGGGCGTCCTTCCAGTCAGTGAGGACACCGGCCTTTTTCCCGTCACTGTCCGTGATCTCCTCGTAAGCCTGGTTCATCAGCAGGTCCCCGAAGTAAGAGATCTTCGTGCCTGCGTGGACGTTCATGGGCGCAGCAGGAAGATCCGCGATCTGCGACAGCCCCTCTTGCCCTACGTGGCCGTGTGGGAGGCCAGCGTGGAAGCGGGGTTTCACGCCGTCGGCGCGCGCGAGGGCCTCGCCGAAATTGATGCTCTCGCCCCCAACGGCGTCCCCGAGAGTCTCGCGGAGTGTCTAGGGGAGGGTCGCGTTCTCCCTCGCCATGGCAGCCGCAAAAGAGAGGGGTCGGCACGAAAGGCGCGTGCAATCAAACAGCTTGAGCCGATCGGGCATTGCGGAACTTCTCGGAGGGAGGGCGGCCAGAGACTTCATAATATGCTGCCCCATAAAAGCAACATGTCGGCGTCGGTTTCCTGTGGGGTGGCAAGGGGGTCCCCTTTTAAGGATGCCCCTGTATATGATAGGATCGACTATCTTATGTCTGCTTGGAACTGGGCTGGGCTGCTCCACATGTGGCTTTGGTTCTGGTTATGGTTCTGGCTCTGGTTCAAGTTCTGGCTTTGGTTTTGGCTCTGGTTCTGGTTCTGGTTCTGGTTCTGGCTCTGGATCTGGTTCTGGTGCTGGTTCTGGCTCTGGTTCTGGCTCTGGTTCGGGCTCTGGTTCTGGCTCTGGTTCTGGCTCGGGCTCTGGTTATGGTTATGGTTCTGGCTCTGGCTCTGACTCTGGTTCTGGTTATGGTTCTGGCTCTGGTTCTGGTTCTGGTTCTGGTTCTGGTTATGGTTCTGGCTCTGGTTCTGGTTCTGGCCCTGGTTCTGGCTCTGGCTCTGGCTCTGGTTCTGGTTCTGGTTCTGGCTCTGGCTCATGTTCTGGTTCTGGTTCTGGTTCTGGTTCTGGTTCTGGTTCTGGTTCTGGTTCTGGTTCTGGCTCTGGCTCTGGTTCTGGTTCTGGTTCTGGTTTTGGTTCTGGTTCTGGTTCTGGTTCTGGTTCTGGTTCTGGTTCTGGCCCTGGTTCTGGTTCCGGTTCTGGTTCTGGTTCTGGTTCTGGTTCTGGCTCTGGCTCTGGCTCTGGTTCTGGTTCTGGTTCTGGCTCTGGTTCTGGTTCTGGTTCTGGTTCTGGCTCTGGTTCTGGTTCTGGTTCTGGCTCTGATGTTGGCTCTGGCTCTGGTTCTTGGTCTGTCTCTGGTTCAGTTTCTGGTTCTGGGTCTGGTTCTTGCACTGGTTCAGGCTCTGGTTCGGGCAGTAAATCACGTGCTCACGAACGGTAGTAGTTTCGGGCGCGGAGGTGGGAACCCATTATTTGGGTTCCCCGTTGTGTTTTGCTATCCGATCGGCGCTACTGGCCTGGGAGCCTTTCCATGTCGGCCACATCGTCGAAGGGGCACATAGTAGAAGGGGCATCCATTTATGGATGCCCCTTCTGCCCCATCAAGGCACGATGGAAAGAGAAGCGAGCCAGAGGTTCTGCAGAGGCAAGCAAGAATCATGGTCGAAGTGCACCGTGCCTGCTCGAGCGCGCTGTGTCCTCGTCGCCGCCGCCGTCGTCGTCGTCGCCATCGTCGCCGCCGTTGTCTTCCTCCTCCTCCTCCTCCCCCTCCCCCTCCTGCTGATCAGAATCCCCTTTCGGATCAGAACCTTGGAAAACCCCCCAAAAAACAAAACACGCAAAAACAACAAAACACAAAAAAACAATAAAAAACAACGTTTCGGGCGGATTCGCCTTGCAGTCTGTACTCTCCCAAATCATTTTTTTTTTGGTTTTCCCAATGGTCTGTTGCTTTCCGGGGAAACCGAGGGAACAAAGGTAAGAGGGGGAGGAGGAGGATGAAGAGGGAGGCGGAAGGAGGGGAAGGAAAAACGAAAAGTGAAGGAGGAAGGGGGAAGAGGAAGAGGGAGGAGGTGAGAGCGAGGCTTTCTGTATAAAATATGTAAATCGCGGGGGTCCGAAACCGAACTGGGACCGAGAAGGGAAAGCCTGGCGCTTTCCCCCCGCTGTCCCGACCACTGTTCGTCTTCACCCATGGTTGGCGCTGGCCACCCCCGCCCATCTCGTAGTAGGGAAGAAAGAAGTTGGACCAACACCTCGCGATTATTCGAGCGTTCTGGATGGCCACGGACCAGGGACATGCGTGAAGTGTCGCCACCAGAATCGACACTGGATATCCCAGGACAAACATCTCCAACATGAGTTCCAGGACCCAAGACAATGTGACCTGGATCGGTAGTGCAAGGTATTGGGCCCGAGCTAAGCGGCCCGTCAAGAGCGCGACCACCATGTTGAAACCCCGAGGTGGTCGTCCTGGCCAAGGAAGTAGGTTGGTTTTTGGCCGAACGTCCGTACATCCTCTCAAGAGCCACACCCGATTTTCATTTTTTTGGTAGAATAGATATCCTGTTCTCCAACGGCCAGAGGGCCAAATCCAACCACGTACAGGGGGTCAGGGGATCTTCAAGGTTGGAGGCAGGAGAGAGCTTGACCTGGTATACCTGGGACAGATACAGGTAAACACACTGCCTGCAGTACACTTTGCTTGTACCTAGTATGCCATCCACATAACGACGTTGTCGAATCTCCACTTTTCTGATGTCGGTGATACTTGGGAATCCATACTGCGAGCTCGTTCAGGAGCTTTGCATGCTCGAAGTTCAAACCAAGCTAATAGTATTGATAGAGCACCCCCTGAGAGTACACCACCATTCGGTAAACCTCTCAACTCATACACAACCCCACCAATCGTGGCCAACGATAACCAACAATCAGCTAACATAGTAGACGCTATATCTTAAGTGGATACCTTATAATAAGTGGGTGGTGTTCCTTTTTTTTTCCACGCTTGACCAGCACGGCATTCGTTCCTAGTCGTTTGGATATTTCTTTTGATACTTCACTCCAAGCTTTCCCAATCAACGTGGAACTACATTGTTCATATGCCTGGTCCGCATCTGCGACCACAGTTGATATGCATGATAGCGGGCTCGAACATCGTACACATGTATATCATCATATGGGGGTTCTAAGTCATGCGCAGCACGTCCAATTTTTTTGAGGCATCTTTCATGTCAAACACCTCACATGACACTTCGCTCGCACGTAAAAGGTGGCGAGCGGCACGGCCAATGATCCTGTACCCCGCCGTGCCTGGTGCATTTGCTGAGTTGACAATCCTCCGCATGCAGCTGCGGCCAGGCTTCGCGCAGCAACGGGTGCCGTCGGGGAGGAAACACTTGCTCTTGACTGTGGGAAGGGCGTAGGGAGGGATCGTTTTTTTTGGACGGGTGGGGGAGCATCGTCTGGGATCGAAGCCAACTGGGGAGCCCGTGTCGAGCTGTCGTCCATAACCACAATGCTGCATCGTAGCGGGAAAGGTCAAGACGTACCTGCCAATCTGCATCTAGCTCTGCTGTTTGGTGTAGCCATCGGATGATGCCCACGCCATCCCCCATCTAAATTTTATCACATTGTTTGTCATCTGCTATTCGTATACTATTGTTTGTGTTCTCCAATGTTTCTTTGAGGTCTTGCTCGATCTGCTGCCATTTCTGAGGAGGCGGAGGGAGGGCTGCTGCGAGGTCATATGACAGGGGCTGCTTAAACTTCTGCTTCAAGTAATCCAACCCTCATTGGATCGCAGGCTGAGCAAGACGAGCGGATTGGGCCCATTCCAGTAGCCCCAATTTCGCCCTCCGAAAAGATATTGCGGGGACATGCCACACGGGGAGCCTCCACGGACCTGGTAGCTGCTTCAGGTCGAGTGGTCCTGAAACAAAATTGGACGCTGTAACTGAGGCTGACAGACAGTCAACATGAAACTCAGCACAAAAACGGCTGGCGGACACCCGATCTTTCCATATTCTCCGAGCTCGAAAAGAAACACGAGGAGTCTGGCTGTACCACGTACGTGCTGGCTCGAAACGCATCTTGCGACACATGGCCTGAACTGAGCTGAAGACCAAGTGTTGCAGTCGCCGCTCTCGAAACTCAAAGGGTAGCTTCAAGACGGGTCGTCGGGCTGCGGGTAAGCCCAACCCCTTGAGGTGTTGGTCAATGTGGAATCTGGCCATACACACTCGAGTGAAATTGCACAAGAAATCAGGGGCCAATTCTGCCGCTCGAAATAGTATCGCACCCAACTCCATTCTAGAAATATGCTCGCATACTGGAAGAGGCCGCCACTTTGCGGCAAGTAGAGCAAGAAAAAGACCTAGACGCTCTGGTGCGAGAATCCAAAGGGGGCCCTCCTCTCCTGTATTGTGGTATCTTTCTGTAATCTGCAGGGTGTAGAGGGCACTGCACGGGGCGGGCTCTGAAAGGGCTCCAGGGTACTTGGCAAGGGGTCCACCACAATCATACGGTAATGTTTCCATCAACGCTGGTGTCGCTGTCGTCCATACAGGAGGTGGAAGAGGACGAGGAGTGGGTCGTCGCCAAGAGGGAGGTCGTCGTCGTGGAGGTTTAACTCTAGGTGGTACATATAGGGTCCCAAGACCTCGTCGGAAACTTTGTTGTTCGGACTCGGTCGCATCGGCACGGTTTGTTGAGGGTCGAAGTCGGCGTATGGATAACGTTTCGTAATGAAAGCTCGCTGTTTCCGTCGGGGTCCACAGTATAGGGAGGAAGAACAGGGAACCACCTGACCGTCTGAGCTCTCGGTACCGGGGTCGATTTCCTGGGCGAATTCGTGGGTGAAGCAACCCTGGTAGTGCTCCTCCTCTGAGAGATGCTTTACCAATGTATTGTGACGCATGGCACCCTGGTAT